CCTCCCAGGGCCCCTGTGTCCACTGTCCACTTGACCTCCCACTCCTACCTCCAGCCAACACCACTTGGAGCTACCATTCACTTTAGCCTTTTTCTCCTTGAATCTTGAGCTGCACATTTTGGTTGAGAGTCCCAGGAGTATATTGACGCACTCCTGGAGATTCTGCTTCTGCCCATCTCTAGGTACCAGGCAGGGTATGCTTTGCTGCCCACAGCACTCCCAAGTGCTTGTTGGCTCAAAGTGCCCATCTCCAGCTGACTGAGGCATACACCTGCAATCTCCAAATAGCAAATACCCAGGTCATACACAGACCCTGGGTCCTTCCCTGGCAGTGCTGGGGACTGTGTCCTTGTCACTCCCAGACCTTGCTGGAGCCCTGCTAGGTGCTCAGGCAGAGAGGAAGGGGTGTGTGAGGCATGAAGTGGATCGACTGGGCCTGACCTGACCTTTGAGCAGCCTGAGCTCACATTCCAGGTGCCTCAGTGCTGCTGCCTCTTTGCAGAAATGGAGGTGGAGCCGGCCAGCAAAGGAGAAGAAGAGCCTGAGGAGGAAGATACAGGGCCTGCCGAGGTCAAGCAGGAGGGACACCGGCTAGAGAACGGAGAGGCCCCCGAGGAGACCGAGGAGTCCTTGGGCACAGACTCTGGGCAGGAGCTCGGCGTGGAGGCCCGGAGCCTGCGCTCTGGCACCTACGGGGACCGCACTGAGTCTAAGGCATATGGCTCCGTCATCCACAAGTGCGAGGTGCGGGCGCAGGTGGTGCCAGCCCCCTGCCTGCCCGGTCCCCACAGCCCACTCACGCCCCCTCCCGCTGTGCTGCAGGATTGTGGGAAGGAGTTCACACACACGGGCAACTTCAAGCGGCACATCCGCATCCACACTGGAGAGAAACCCTTCTCTTGCCGCGAGTGTAGCAAGGCCTTCTCCGACCCTGCTGCATGTAAGGCCCACGAGAAGACGCACAGGTAGCTGCCCCCCAGGCCTCCTTCACCTTGCAGGCAGCTCCCTGGGATCCAGGGAGCAGCCCTCCCTGTCCGTTGCCTTCTTGCCACCAGCCCGCTGAAGCCGTATGGCTGCGAGGAGTGCGGCAAGAGCTACCGGCTCATCAGCCTGCTGAACCTGCACAAGAAGCGGCACTCGGGTGAGGCACGCTACCGCTGTGAGGACTGTGGCAAGCTCTTCACCACCTCGGGCAACCTCAAGCGCCATCAGCTGGTGCACAGCGGTGAGAAGCCCTACCAGTGCGACTACTGTGGCCGCTCCTTCTCTGACCCCACATCCAAGATGCGCCACCTGGAGACACATGACACCAACAAGGAGCACAAGTGCCCACACTGTGACAAGAAGTTCAATCAGGTGTGCAGGCACTCCCAGAGCCAGCCCCGGGAGCCCCACTGTGTGCGGGGCTTGCAGAGGCATGGGACCTGTAAACAGTGACTCTTCCCCAGATGGTGCTCCCGACTACTCTGCCCAGGCAACTAGGGAGGGCAGGTTGAGTTGGGGTGGCATTTGGCCCAGACAGAATTAGGTGGGGGTGTTTTACCTGTCACTACTGGGACCTGGAACCTTCTGCTGGCTTTGGGAAGATATAGCTCCATCCCTGGTATCCTGGCAGACCTGAGAGTTATTCTCTGGGGTTGGGTTGGGCAGGGGCCTGAGGCCAAGGTCTGCGAGTGGCCCTTCTGACCCCTGCCTGGCACAGGTGGGGAACCTGAAGGCCCACCTGAAGATCCACATTGCAGATGGGCCCCTCAAGTGCCGAGAGTGTGGGAAGCAGTTCACCACCTCAGGTAGGCCCCAGGCCACCCGGGCTGCCCGCCCGACCCCTCCCCCCAGCCTCAGGGCCCACACCAGGCCTCCCTCGGTCTCACTTGCCACAGGGAACCTCAAGCGGCACCTGCGGATCCACAGCGGGGAGAAGCCCTACGTGTGCATCCACTGCCAGCGGCAGTTTGCTGACCCTGGTGCCCTGCAGCGGCACGTCCGGATCCACACGGGTGGGTGAGCAGGCCATGTTGCTTGCAGGCTGGGGAGGGAGCCCAGGAGGAGAAGCGGGTGCTCACGCCTCTCCTGCCTGCCTCTCCAGGTGAGAAGCCGTGCCAGTGTGTGATGTGCGGCAAGGCCTTCACGCAGGCCAGCTCCCTCATAGCCCACGTGCGCCAGCACACTGGGGAGAAACCCTACGTCTGTGAGCGCTGCGGCAAGAGGTGCTGCCCCTCCCCGGCAGGGTGCGGAGGGGTCCCTGGAGGGCTCTGTGGTGTTTGTTCCAGATGAGGGGCCCCCACCCTGCTGCCCAGCCCCCTGTGGCTAGGCGGGCAAATGTGACGACTCCCTCTCCCCGTTAGGTTCGTCCAATCTAGCCAGTTGGCCAATCACATTCGTCACCATGACAACATCCGCCCACACAAGTGCAGTGTTTGCAGCAAGGCCTTTGTGAACGTGGGGGACCTGTCCAAGCACATCATCATCCACACTGGTGAGCACGTGCCCGCCCACCCAGGCCCTGCCAATGCTTCGCCTGCAGCGTGGTGGGTGGGAAGGTGGTTGTGGAGGCAGTGGAGTTGGAACACAGGCCCTCTCCTTAGAGCTCCCAGAGGGATGGGTGCCACTGGCGGCATCTGTCAGCTCTGGTGGCCGCCCCAGAGAACTTCCTGCTGGAAAAGGCAGGGGTGCTAGGGGGGCAGAGGCCTGGAGGTCCTCCCACCCCACCCCAGCTGCCCCTCCCCCAAGGCAGGAGAGACCCTTGCCTCCCCACCAGGAGAGAAGCCCTACCTGTGTGACAAGTGTGGGCGTGGCTTCAACCGGGTGGACAACCTGCGGTCCCATGTGAAGACTGTGCACCAGGGCAAGGCCGGCATCAAAATCTTGGAGCCAGAGGAGGGCAGTGAGGTCAGCGTGGTCACTGTGGATGACATGGTCACACTGGCCACCGAGGCACTGGCAGCAACAGCCGTCACTCAGCTCACAGGTGCGGGTGCTGGGTGGCAGAGGGCAGCTGCAGGTAGCCTGCCTCAGGCTGGCATCAGTGTGGTGGGCACTGCAACCTTTGCCTCAGGCCCTGGTGGTTCTGCCCACAGTGGTACCAGTGGGGGCAGCGGTGACAGCCGATGAGACAGAAGTGCTAAAAGCTGAGATCAGCAAAGCCGTAAAGCAAGTGCAGGAAGAAGGTGAGGGGCCCCCCAGGGTGTGGGCTCTGGTGGACCGGGGCCTTTCCCACCCTGACTGCAGCCCCCACCTCCACAGACCCCAACACCCACATCCTCTACGCCTGTGACTCCTGTGGGGACAAATTCCTGGATGCCAACAGTCTGGCGCAGCACGTTCGGATCCACACAGCCCAAGCGCTGGTCATGTTTCAGACAGACGCGGACTTCTACCAGCAGTACGGCCCGGGAGGCACGTGGCCAGCTGGGCAGGTGTTGCAGGCTGGGGAGCTGGTCTTCCGCCCTCGGGACGGGGCTGAGGGCCAGCCCGCGCCAGCAGAGACCCCACCTGAAGCTCCTGAGTGCCCACCACCTGCTGAGTGATCGGGCATCCCTTCTCCTGACTTTTTATTTAAGGGTGGATGGCACCCTAGAACTGAGAAGGGTGCCCCCATTCCCTAGAGAATAAATCTGATTATTTTCTAATGCTGCCTGTAGGTCCCTGTTGCAGGGAGTGGGAGGGCTGGCAGCTATGGCGGATGTGACAGAAGAGCTCCACTGTCCAAGGACCAGCCTTCCTAGAAAAGTCCTGCTGTCTCTGGGGCAGACCTGTCTATACCCAGGCTGACCATCCTGAGCTGGGCTGTGGCAGCACATGGACTGAGACTGCAGCTCCACAGGCCCCCAGGCAGCCTGGGTGCTCTCCCCACCAAGCACTGCTGTGACCCCACTCTCCTCTACAGGCCCAGGGGACTGGGCAGCTGAGGAAGAAAGGGCAGTGGGGAGAACCACACTGCTCCAAGAGAGCCAGGCAGCCCAGACAGCACCAGCTACCCCTCCAAAGCTAAGCCCAGCTCCAAGACCTCAGTGGCTTTGCCCCCTTTGGCCGCTCATGGGACTGGCTCAAGGGCACTTTCATCCAGAGAATGAAGGTAGGCTGAGTACTGTGCCAAGCCCAGCAGGCCATGGGGGAACTCTTTTGGCCCTGGAGAAGCAGGAGGCTTTGTACTTCGTTCATCAGTAACCCTACCAGAGCACAGAAGCCAAACCAGTGCTGTCCTTTGGGAATGGTTATTTGCCCTGAATCAGTGGATCCCATTCACCTCCAGGCTGGCCTGGAGGGACAGGAGGATGTAGTGGGGCACTTGTGGGAGGGAGCACTGCACCAGGACTGTCCATCCTTCCGACCGCCCCCTGCACACAGCTCACACCCCCAGCTGTAACCCCTCCTATGTAATCCTAGGTGATTTTGTAGGCCTATTTGTAGGAACCCTCTTGATACTGCAAGTGAAAATGCCAACTTTATCCCAGCAGGGAGTGGCCAGTGGGTCCCTGGCATCCCCTTCCACCCTCCTGTCAGGCAGCAGATACAGGGCTGAGCTGCAAGGAACACCAATAGGTCAGGCCCTGCCTTCCTGACTCTGCAAGAGCCACTGGCACTGTAGTGGGGAAGGGAAGGGCTGGGACCAGAGACCAGAGCCTGTGTGAGATGCTCTGGCAGGCTGAGGCTTAGGGCTGAGCTCAAGCCCTAGCATGTGCAAGGCTCCAGCATGGGGGTTGTGCGCATGGGCTGGGAAATGCTGCTGCAAGGGGGTGATTTTCTATTGTATCACAGGCTGAAGTGCTTTCCAGGTTACCTAGGAGCCAATCAGGACCTTGAAGTTTCATGATGATCTACACACACCAGAACACTGGAAAATGTTACAGTTCATCCACAAGAAGTCTTTTGTACAAGATGAAGTCATCTTGGGGGAGGATTAAGGTGGGGTAAAAGCATAGGTGAGGTGAAGCTAGCTGTTGCCCTAAGCCAGTGCCCCCTGGCCCTCCCACAGAGCGACAATCACATTCACACTTGAGGTGTTTTGTATTTTTTAATAAAGTTTGTAATCCAATGGACACACAAAACAAAACTGCGCTGAGAAAACAGTTTCATAAATTAATAAGTGTTAGGAAGTGGGAGAGGTCTGGGTCACAGGAAGAAGGTTGGCCAGTCTTTCTGTACAGGTGCTGTGTGACACTTCCACGAAGCGGGAGCAGCGCCCGTGCTGTCATGAAGCGCACTTATACAAATGAGTGACAATACAAAGTCTGAGTATGAAAATAAGATTTTCTCTGAAAACACATTTTTTGGCACAGATTAAAAAAAATGTATGTTGGGGAAATTTGATTTTTAAGTCAGTATTATATATATTTATATATATTATATATTTATATATACACACATCCCAAGTTCTGCATATCCCACCAAGAAAGGAAATCCTGTGTTTGCTCCTGTTCCACTGTAAACTGTACATCCTGGTGAGCCAAACGTGGTGGCAGCAGGAGAGTTAAAGGTGATGTCCAATGAGCAAAGAAGAGAAGGTGGGGCAAAAAAACCCAATGAAATGTTCCTTGACCCCAAGGTTTCAGCAGAAGTTCCCGGTCCTGCATTAGCGTCTGTGACGTGTTCATACACACCAAGACGTCTGTCAGTGTCACAGCCTGTCTTCACTGTGCAAAAGTCCAAGTCACTAATTTAGTGCAAAGGCAGTCCTGTTTTGTTTCTTAAAAACGAAAACAAAAAATTCCACTGCCCTATTCCTTTTCTCAAAAAAAAAGAAACCCAGCCCCAAGGTGTCTGTGAGTCCCTCAGTTGGTGGCACGTCCTGGGCGACAGCATCGTGTAAACATACAAGGCAGCAGCACCACCACCCAGGGAGATCCGTCCCTGGGAGCTGGGTGGTCGAGGAGGCCAGTGTCTGGCAGTGGGGTCTGTCCCCTCCGCAGGTGCTCCTCTGCCTGACTGGGTAGTCTGGTGTTCATTTTTTTGCGGCAGAACCTCGGGGAAATTACCCTGAGGTGGTGATCGTCCCGTGGCTCACACAGAGGCAATGACAATCATAAGGTGGGGAGAGATGTTGGAGACACTGGCAAGGAGGTCAGGGGCCAGGCGGGAAAGGTGACTCTCAGAGAACTCACAAGGCGGGAAGATCTGCAGCACATAGGCGGGCTGGAAAAGGGGGAAAGAGAAAATGGGACCTTCCTGCCTTCAGCTCACCCTCCCCAACATGCTTCCGACAGGCCCACAACAGGCCAGAAGCAGGCAGCCAGCCTAGGTCAGCATCCTAGCCATGACCACGCCCACCAGATGAACCACTATGACTGCCCTGAGCGCCTGTGCTCAAGAAGGTCCTTGGGTACCCCCTCACACACTGCTGGTTGCCTCTATTCAAAATGCCCTTTGCCTACTTCCTCCAGGAGCTGCTAGGCTACCCTAGCTTGTGCTGGTGACCTGTGTCACCAGACTCCCACTTGCCACCAGCCCTTCCTGTACAGGGGGGGTTAGGGCAGATGGGATTCGACACCATGCTGGACCAACCTGATTGGAGCCAGGGTTCGGAACGTTGATGATCCCTGCCGCCTGCTTGGCCTGCAGGTAAGTGATGAAGGCAGCCTTAAGAGACTCTGTCTGGCTTACCACGTCGTCTTGGTCACGACCACAGGGCAGAGCCAGCAGCAGACAGTAATCTGTCTCCACCTGAGGCAGAGAAGCCAGTGGTCAGGGGCCTCCTAACCAAATAGCAGCTCATATCCAATCCAGGATGCTGAATCCATTAAAACCCCCCCCTTTGGGCCGGGAATTTAGCTCAGTGGTTTTGCTGCCTGCTGCGCAAGCGCAAGGACCCAAGTTCGATCCCCGGTACCAAAAAAAAAAAGATGAAAACCCCCCTCCTTCAAGATGACTTTGTTAAAAGAAAAAAGCCTCCTTTCTGGGTGTAAGAATGTTTCACACTCTCAGGTAGTAAGACAATGTGCCTTTCACTGTCCACTTCCAAGAATCGTGCCCCATGCCGGGAGAAAGTCAGGGAACACCTGTGCATTCCCTGTGTGGGGGCAGGGGTCATCTGGGGCCTGTAAGTTCTTACTGTCATTCTTCGGGCCACCCCTTCCAGCTGTGAGGCCTCCAGCCGCATTCTCTGGGCGATCCTCAGCGGGGGGCCTCCTTCTGAGAGAGGCAGGGATCGGTGGGCCAGGACATTGTTGCCAGAGACAAAGTGGAGCTGGACAGCAGCTGTGTCATTCTTGAGAGCCAGCAGGCCCTGCCACACGATGGGATACTTCTGTTCACAGGGAAACAAAGCAGAAGTAAGTTTGGGGCTGGAGAGCTGAGAGCAGGCCATGCTGGCTGTGGCCCTAGGCAGCATCTCGATGGCCTAAGTCAACTGGGGAATCCTAGCATACTAAACCCAGCACACAGCTTGGGAGATGGTGGAGGCAGCCCTCGCCCATGCTTACCTTCAGAAGCTGGACCATATCCACAGATCTCTGGGAAGTCAGGTGTGGAGAGGAATCTGGCTTGGAGGCTGGCTGGACTTCAGTGTGTGGCAGGGCCAGCCCTGGTGGGGTGCTTGGGCCTGAGGTTGTGGGAACAAATAATGGCTGCTTTGGGGCAGCCTGGGTGGGCAGAGGGGCCGGGAGGTCCGGCTTCATGGAGACAGACACGGGGGAGGGGTAGGAAGTCTGGCCTCCTTCCACTTGCGCCCTCTGAACCTGGGGGGTATGGGGTTCAGGTGGCCTGGATGCTGGTACAGTTGGGAGGCGGGGTTGCTCAATTCCTCCTGTCTGAGTCCCCTTTGCTTCTTGGGAAACCTGAGGCATCTTGCTACATGGTGGCTGGCCAGGCTGGCTGAGTTGGGAGGGATTACAGGGCGGCACAGGCAGAGCAGGCTGTGTGGACTGCACAGGCGGGGCAGGCTGTGCAGACTGTGCAGGCTGAATGGGCTGCAAGGGCTCACCTTCAGGAGTGCCCTAGTGTTGGAAAAGAAGGCAAGGGAACAGAGTCAGAGTCTGCTATGCACAGGCCCCTGCTCCCAACGAAGGGCCCAATGGGCCACACAGGACAGTGTCAGCCGCAAGACATCCGGTGCAAGCCAGCTGGGTAAGAAGTCTCGTCTTCGTCATCACCCACCCCACTCCCACAGGCAGAAGCCACCGCACCTAATGTGGCACAAAAAGCTCTTCCCCATGCCTGGAGCTCTCCAACCCTTTCACCCCCAAGTCTCCTCTTTAAACTCACAAGAACATTACCAGCGTATTTGGGAGTACCTGACAGGCTTGCCTGTCCCTCAACCACTGTCTTAGCTGGAAGGCGACTTCCTAAGCCATTTCTGCTTCAAAGCTGTGGAGTCCCCCAAGCACACACCCCACAAATGTGGGGGAAGACACCTGGCTTCCTCACCTGGGCAGGAGTCTTGGTCCGGGAAGGCAGGCCAATGGAGGAGGCAGCAGGGAACTGAGTGGGTGTGAGCTGTGCTGGGGCATGGTAGGTACGGATGTCGCCGTATCTGTACTCTTGAAACAGCTCCCCACTGGAGTGCACGATCTGTACTCCATGAGTCACCACCACAGGGGGAGTCAGAGGCAGCCCCTGGAGCTGGTTGCTGGGGGTTGACTGTAAGGATGCGGGCCTCACCATGAGGGGGTGGGGGTGGGGCAGGGGCAGGGGGTGGGGCAGGGGCAGGGGATGCTTTGGCCTCTGGCGTCTTGGTAGATTCTTTCCCAGGTTGCTGAGGGGCCTTGCTGACAGCTGGCACCTTCACCACACCCTCTGTGGCCCTGGGCTGCTCGCTGACTGCCACATGTGGGTGCACCATGATCCGAACATCCCGGGGCACGGTGTATGGGTGCAGTCGGTACTCAGACTGCATGACCAGCACCTCGGACTGCACGGGGGCTGCGGCTCGAGCCACTGGGAGATGGTAGTGCACTTCTTCCTCAGGGGGGTGCTGGGAGGCCAGAGTGGACACTCCAGCCGTGGCCGGCTGTGGGGTGCCTGCGCGCTGCGGGGCCCGTACTTCTATCTGCTGGGGCTGCAGGGGAGCCCGAGGAGAGTGAAGGGTTTCTGGCCGGATACTGTAAGTGATGCTGGGCAGTGTAGGTGTGTTCATTCTCACCTCGCCCTGGGACAAATGGCCAAGGGATACAGTCTGGGTGATGCTGTGGGGTGGCATGATGACAGACTGCTCTGGGTGGATGCTAGAGATGAACTGAGGCACTGGAATGCCTGCAGCCAGCATGACTGTGGCATTGGTAGAGAGCGCTGTGGATGTGGTGCTGCTGGGGTGGCATGCCCTGGGGAACGGGGGTGGTGCAGGCCCGCTGGATCGAGGAGAATGCGTGTCTGGTTTGGTGGCTGCCGAGTGGGAGACCATTCTGTCCGTTGGAGTGCTGGGCCCTGAGGTGGCGTGGTTCACTTCTGCAGGCAGTTTGGTGGGCAGAGGAGGAGGATGGTGGGGTGTGAGTGTAGACCCAAGGTTGGCTGGCTGAAGGACCTTGGTCTCTATTTTGAGGGTGACGGGGTCAGCAAGCTTTTTATTAGTGGTAACAATGCTTGGGGTGAGGACCAGCTGGTTGTGGACCAGTACTGGGGGTGTGTTTATGCCCTGGGTGAGAACCTTCACTGTGCCACCCTGGGTGACGGGGGTGGACACAGAGAGGTGGATGGGCTCAGGCTTCTCCAAGGATGGGCGGTCGGCCTTGACAGAGGAGATCACAGGGGATGCATTGTAAGTCTGAGCAGTCAGCACCAGGGTGGAATGGGTGGCCACATTTGTGAACCCTGGGGGAGCTTGAGGGCCTTTGGGTGCAGGCTGTGATAGTGTGACAGAATCAGGTTTCACCTGGGACTTGGACACCGACTGCTGAAATTCAATGTCCATTGCACTGGCTGGGGGAATCTGGCTAATCTTGGCACTGATCCGCTGTGGACCTTCAGTCTTCTGCCCTGAGTAGCTCAGGAGCACAACCCCCTCTGAAGTATTCACACGCAGCCCTGCACCGGAGCCTGTGTCTGCAGGACGGTCATCAATCACAGACATGGACCCAGGGTGGAAGCGACTGTTTTCGTTACTGCTCGATCTCTGCTTGCACTTTGCTGATGGTGCAATCACTGCACTTGTCATAGGTGCTGCGCCTGCTGTGGCAGTCACACCACCAGATGCAGCAGTCACTGCACCTGCAGTGGCACTCACTGCACTAGCAGCAGCGTTCACCGTGCCGGTGGCAGCATTCATTGTACCCACTGTGGCATTCACTGGAGTGGTGAGGACGTTTACTGGCCCAGTGAGAACATTCACAGGCCCCTTCAGGACATTCACAGGCCCCGCAGGGGTGCTCACTAACCCTTTCAGTGTGGCCACTGACCCCTTCACGGGTCCTTTCAGGGCATTCACCGGAACCAGGGAAACATTCACCAGGCCAGTCAGGGCACTCACCAGGCCAGTCAGAGTCTGAGGAGCTGGTTTTGCCAGGGTTATCTTCTGTGAATTCTCCAAATCAATGCTGACAGGCATCCGGCTGATAACAGATGTAATTTTAGGAGCAATGACTGGAGCCACCTTTTCTTTGTCAGTGGCTACAGGAACCTCTGAGGCTTGCATGTCAGAGGCATTTGTTATTGGAGCTGCTGGTTTTTCCTCTACAGGAGGCTTTTTAGATTCAACTGGAGCAGCTGCTGCCTCATGGAGGCAAGGGGCAGCACTTACAGGCTCTGCGATGGCTGTGGTGACACTTGTCGATGTGATACCTGTAGCAGATACATATTTGGGGTCCATGAGGATCTTCCTCAGCGTACTGGAGCTGGTGTCCACATCAGAGGCCTTGGTATCTGGGGGAAGAGCTGGAGACGGAGTGGACTGAGCCCGAGGCTCTTCCTGTCTGGTGATCCACTCTGTCACCTTAGGAGGGGGGCTCTGCTGTGGGACTGCCCCAGGACCCAGGGCGGGTAGAAGCTTTGCAGCAGTTATAGAAGGAACTGTGGGTGGGGGGTTGCCTGAGTCACTGGGTGGGGTCACTGGGTCACTTTCAATGATGGTGTGCACCTTGAACCTGGCCTGAGCTTCATCATCCAGCAGTGCTGGCTGGGAAGGAGGGGGGAGGTCTGGAAGCACAGATGCTTTGGTTGGAGTCTTTTCTTCAACGCTGATTTCTTGGGACACACTCTCTGCAGACAGACTCTTGCTTGGCTCAGGGGTGCATGCCTGAGGAGGAGCACAACGGGGCTTTTCACTCTGCTTGTCTTCCTGTGGAGGTTCTGAGGGGTGTGCTGCCACCCCCTTATTCATAGCAGGGCTCTTGCTTTCAGCCTCAACAGTCTTGGAGGCATGGGTCTCTGTGGCAGCACCTGCCACCTTCTTATTTGTATTCCTTTTGCGGCGTGACCGAGCTGCCTTCTGGCGCCCTTTGTCTTTACGAGCAAGAGGTACTTCCACTTCCTTTGACCCTTTGGTTTCCTGTGCCAACTGAGAGGTTTCACTGCCATTCCCTCTGGCTTCCCTGGCATTTGCTGGGATTCCTGAGGTGTCAGAGGTGCTGTCTTGTGGCCCAGAAGTCTCTGCAGCAGCCTCTGTCTCCAAGATGCCAGATACAGCCTCATGAGTTTCAGGCTCCATTTCTCCCCCTTGGGGCTGCACCCCTTGCGTCTGTGACGGCAAACTTGTCTGAGATTCCGCAGGGAAACGAGGAGGGGCAGGGAAATTTTCCGGCTCCCCAGAAATGTCATTGATAATGGATCCGATGGCAGCAGCCAGTTCTGTTTCACTTGCCTGATGTGGGGGCTTGTCTTTGTCCTCTGTGGTGGGGCCCTTGGTTGCACTAGAAGCTGCTGCTTTATAGGCTGCATGGGCAGAGGTCTCAGTAAGCTTTTCAATGTTCTCCACAGCTTGCTCCAGCTCCATCTGCTGGGCTAGCTGAGTGGCTTCTGGGGATACCCTAGAGGCAGACATGTCTTCCTCCTCTGGTTCCTTGTTGGGGGCCGCTGGATCATTTTTCAGCTGGGATGAGGAACTACCTTCCTTCTGGGGACTCTCGCTTTTCTCAGGTGAGACTGCTACGACCCCAGCTTCTGGTTCCTCTGCCTGTGCCACAGGCCCTGCAGCCTCCCCATGGCCAGCTGCTGTGTCTGTACTTTTCAGATGTGCAGATCTGTCCACTGCTGACCTTGAGTTTCGAGATCTTCCTCGCTTTGATTTAGAGTTTTTTTCAGGGGCTGGCTTTTTCTCTACCACCTCAACTGGAGGAGTGTCGGGTGCATTTTTGTCTGTGCTGGCTTCTTTTTTGTCGTTTCTGTTCACTTTCTGTTCACTTCCTGCTTCTTCTTTATCAGGTTTGGACTTGGTGTTTTCTTTCATGTTCACTTGGAGACTCACATCAGTGGGAGCCTCAGCACGTTCAGCATCAACTTTTGGTTCATTTTTCCCCCTTTTCCCTTGGGGGCCACCAGTGACTGCTGATTTTTGAGACCTCGGGGACCTCCATCCCTCAGCTGGCTTGAGCGTTTCTGTTGGTTCTTTGACCTCATTCTCCTCCTCCTCCTCAGCGCGACGGCGTGTTTTCGGAGGCCTTCCCCTCCGTGGAGTAGTGGGAACCACTGCCACCTCCTGAAGCTCTCGCTCCAGTCTCTTTCTGGTCACTCGTGGCTGCTCTACAGGCTCTTTGGCTGGAGAGCGGTTTTCATGGTCACTCATGGTTGCGTAAACACTCCTCACGTTCCGGCGCCTTGTTCGGCTGAGAGGCAAACTTGGCTCAGGGTGCTCAGGGTCCCCCATAGAGTTTTTAGAAGCAGTCCTTGTAATCTTCTCTGCTTCCATCTTCAATTCTAAAAGCTTCTGTGCTTCTCCCCGAGGGGAACTGGCCCTCTTTAGTTTTTCCCGGTCTATCCTCTCACTCTTCCTAGTGACAGGCTTCTCCACAATACTTGCTGCAGCTGCCTGAACAGGGGTCTTGGAACGCTTACTTTTGTTTGGTTTCTTATCTTTTGCAGCAACTGGAGGATCAACGTCTACATTTTCAGAAGCTTGAGGCTGAACCTCAGGAACAATTTCAGCTTTTGGGTTTGGATTAGGCTCAACCTTTGCAGTTGTATCTGGCTTTTCTACTTTTGGATCATCAGATTCCTCAGGCTTCTGAGTTGGTTTTGAAGGTGGCTGGGTACTGTCAGGGTCTGGATCTACCCTACTCTCTACCGGGGAAAATGAGGCCCCCGGAGTTGGAGGCTTGGCGTCTAGGTAAGGCAGCTGGTCAGTGGACGAGCTTTCAGCCATGGAAGGCATCACAGCAGCATCTTTACTGGTGTCTGCTCCTGGGGACAAGTCTACCTGTTCTGGTTGTTCAACAGAGACAGGAGCCAGTTCTGATACTGGTTTTGCTTCTTCTGAGACAGAGGCTGCCTCCACAGTCTTCTCTTCTGTTACCAAAGGTGTCTCTACTGTTTTTTCACTGGTTGTCTTTTCTGGTGCTGGTGACACTGTCCCTGGAGTCATAGCTGTGACACTGGGAGGCCTGACTGAAGATGGAGTTCTCAGTTCTGACTCTTTATTCTCAGAAGCAGATTCTGGGGTCTTGGGATGATTCTCTGTATCTTCCTGCTTCTCAATCTCTTTGGGTTTTTGGTCTTTTTCTTTTTCTTTCTGTTGCATTCGGGTGAGCTCCATAAATCTGCTATGGAATAGGACCACTGGCTCTTGAATGGACTCACTTGTGCTGTTAACTCCATCTGATGTCTGCCTCCCGTATAATCGACCAGTTATGAAGTCAGATTCTTCATCTTTCCTCTCCAGATGCTGGAGTCGCTTGGAATCTTGTTCAAAGATCGAGCTGTGTAAAAAACGGGAGGCAAATAGTTCTTGCCTTTCCTGCTCTTCTTCTTTATGATTGTCTTTTTTATCATCCATTTTTCCTTCTGAATCAGTCCTGATTTTCTTTTTTTTCATGTACCAGGATGGAATAGGTCTTGGAGCAGAGTCAACCTTTTCTTTATCTTTGTTGTTTCGAAAATTAGCAAACCGGGAGTCCCAGTCAAGAAAAGACCAATTTTCTTCTCGGGATGAAGAAAGGGATTTAGCTCTTTCAAGCAGAGCTTTAGTGTCTGGTGTGATTGTCTTATCCAGTGCAAAAGAATAAAATTTGTTCCTTTCTAAAGAAGTAGAGAGTCTTTCATCTCGCTCACGTAGTTTGTCTTCTCTGTCCCTCAATAAAAAAGACAACCGAGAGCTTTCATATAATGCAGAAGCTCTGGGTGAGTGGGATTTGTGCTCACTATCTTCATCAGAATCCGAAGGCACCTCGCCAGGTTCCAAATCCCGTACAGACCTTTTTCGCAGACTGTCTCTCTTAATTATGCTGTTTGGGAAACTGACATCAAATCTGCTGGCATCCTGTTTCATTTGAGAGTCCCAGCGATTTAGTTCATCTTCAGAATTCAAGACAGATAGCTTTATTTTGGCCATGTCTGCCATCTGTTCTCTCCTGCTAGAATCATAAGGGTTAAATTTTAAGGACTCTTCCCTCACTGTTATACTAGAATAGGGGAGATTTTTTTCATCTACTTTAGGAGAACCTTTCACTGACATTAGCCTTGGGGAGCTTAGAGGATCATCATCTTCATGGAAGGAACCATGGCGAATACTGGGAGAACAGCTAGTCCTTTCAGAATCTTCACTGATTTGGCGTGAACTTCTATAATTCCTCTCTCTCTTGGTGCAGATATCAAAGTCAACATGATCCATCCTTTTCTTTTTGCTGGGAGGCGAGTCATCAGTGACATCTTGTGGAGGTTTGCCTACCTCGTGAACAAGGCTACGTCTTTCATATTCATCTACATCTTTTTTAGGACTGCCAAACTTCTCAGACTTGGCTATTTCCATCTCCATCTGCTGTTTTCTACGACTCTGCTCCATTTGTTTTCGGTAACTCTGTGTGTGATCAATGTCAATGCCAATTTTCTCTTCAGTATTTACTGCATGAGGTTTCTCTTGGCCTGGTTTACGATCAAGTGTTTCATCACGAAGACTACAGTAGTTTTTCCTGACATCATCTCTCTCTGGACCTTGATCATCTAAGAGCTGCAGCTGTTTGAGCTGTGGTTTTGAAGGGATAGGTTTTTTCGACTGGATTTCTTGATTTTCTGCAGATTCAACTCCTGGCTCTCCCAATCGTGCTTGTAGCTCTGAGCTGGGCCTCAAGCCAGACCCAGCAGAAATACTGACAAGCTCCTGACAGTCTTTGGGACTGGGAACAGTATTAAGTTTGTCCACTTTGATTTTTTTAGATTCTCTTTTAAGAATTTCTTTTCTCACAGGCTTTCTTTCAGACTCTCCTTCCCTTAGTAGAACAACATCTCGAGATGAAACATCAGGCATCTTTTTCAAAAGCACCCGAGTATCTTCCATCTCGGGACTACTTTTCTTGATTTCTGGTTTTTGCCTTTCTACTTTTAAATTAGAATCTGCAAATCGTCTTTTCCTGGCTTCCAGCTTCTCCAGATCCACAGCACTCAACCCATCAGCACTCTGCTCTGGCTTGAGGTGCTTCCTGGGTTTAGGCCTGACTTCCTTATCAACTACTTCAGTGTGGCTTGCAAGCAGCTTTTCCTTCGGCACTTTCATTCGAACAGATTCCAATTTAGACAGGTCCAATTTTGCAGGCTCAGCCTGAGAGACCTGAAGTTTCTGATCCAGGGCAGAAGACTTACTGGTATCATTATCAAGTCTGGCTTTCAGCTTCTCCAGTGGAGTATGGTCAATGACCTTTCCCTCTTTTTCTTTTACTCGAGTCAAAACTACACAAGGCATGAGTTCCAAGCGGTTTTTTGCTATTCCTTCTTTGTCGGCTTTCTCTCTGCTCAGTTTATTACAACTCCTGGATTTTTCAGGGCTCTGTTCTTGCTCATTTTCTTGGTCTGTCTCTGAAGACTGAGAACTAGGGGAATGAACTTTTCCTTTTCGCTTCTGCTTGTCAGTTTTGTCCTTTTCCACTTTTTCCTTCCGTATTAAGCGCCTCTCTCTCTCCATTCTCTCAAGATCAAAAGCTCGTTCTTTATCAGCCTTTTCATTTTTTGCATAGCGCTCCAAACGAGCCTTGTCCAGTTTCTCGTACCGTGGAGGGGAGAGTGAGCTACAGCTGCCACTTCGGTCTGAGGAGCGGCTGTACAGCCTCCTCTCGGAGTCACTGGCCAGTCTATCAGCCTGTGAAGGTGATGCACCAGGACTTTGTGCGCGGCGCAAGTGTGTGGGACTCTGACTCCGCTCAATGGGCCGCCTCTCATGGTCTCTGTCTCGGTCAGACTCAAATCTTTCACGTTCTCTCTCTCGTTCCCTCTGTCTGTAACTGTATTCCCGAATATCTTGTTCATAAGGATCACTCCTGTAATCTCTGTATTCCCGAGGGTCATCATAATAGCGTGACTCATAGTAGTCTCCTTGGTATGTTTCCCATTCTGAGTAGAATTCTCTCCCCCGAGCAGGATAGTCCCTCCTGGAGTCCTCGGGATATGTGCCTGGTGTGCGAACGCTCTCATAATATGGTCGGTCTTGGTTATAGTCATAGGATCCCCTTCGCTCCTCTCTGCCAAAAACAAAAAAAGACAATCTTAATGCTGTTATCTCCTCATCACTTACATAGCAAATTATAGCCTGATTCTAAAAATCCTTAACATTATTTCATCACTTGTTAAACTGTAGTGGCTTTCTAACACAGCACCCACTAGCCAGCCACATTTCGGTCTGAGCACCTGACATATGACTAATATAAATTGAGATGTGAGTGTAAAATACACACTACATTTTGAAGACTTAGTTAAAAAGAAAAGCAAAAATGATATTTAAGGAGATCAAAATATTACTCATTTCATCATTATATACAGCATACATGTCAAATTATCACACTGTATTCCAACAAATATGTACAAGTATGTATCAATTTTAAAAAGAATTAGAATGTTTAAAATCTCACTAACAGATTATATGTTGAAACAATATTTTAGATATAGTGAGTTATATAAAATTAACTCCACTTTTTTTTTTTCAACTTTTTAATGTGGCTACTAGAAACTTTATAACAGGATTTAGCTCAGTGGCACCATGCCTGCCTTGCAAGCCCGAGGTCTTGAGTTTGATCTCTGGTACCAAAAAAAAAGAAAGAAAAAGAAAAATTGTAATATAACGTACATTAGGTTCCATTGGGCAGCAGTGGTTCAGCCCTTTTTAATTTTTCTTTAACTCAGGTGTCCCAACATAGCAGGCATTTGTTATTAAGTACTATCACACTCCACATTTCTAAGTCTTTCACAATTACTTTTTTTTTTTGTACTGGGGATCAAACTCAGAACCTTGTGCATGCCAGGCAGGCTCGCCACCACTGAGCTAAATCCCCGGCTCATAGTTACTTTTTTAACAAAGGATGTGCTGGCCAGGCATGGTGGCACACGTCTATAATCCCAGCTATTTGGGAGGCTGGGGCAGGAGGTCTGCAAGTTGGAGGACTGTCAACGAAACTTTGTAAGACCCTTTCTCAAAATTTAAAAAAGGACTGGGGATACAGGGCAGGGATACAGTGCTTGCCTAGCACGCATAAGGCCCTGAGTTTAATGCCCAATACAGAGAAGGAAAAAAAAGATATTCTTACAACCTGGGACTAGGTGTGGTGGTACATGCCTCTAATCCCAGCACTTGAGGCTGAGGCAGGAGGGTCACCGTGAGTTCAAGACCAGCCTGGACTACAAAGCAAGACCCTGTCACAAAAAGAAAAAGAAAAAGAAAAAGAAAAACAAGAAAACTTGGAAAATAAATGTACTGTTTGGAAAAACAGAAAAAATTTTTTCCATTCACTCTATGGAAAATATAAAGATCCTCAGGTTCTACTGCAAAGAATGCATTCCACAGGAACTGCCATGTGAAGCCTCAAGGGGCAAACCCAGGTCACAGGGAACCTATACACCTTCTTCCTCCTGCCATTAGGAAATACACACCACTGGACAGGGGAATAAATAACCATAGGAAAGAAACAAAGAATAGAACCAGAGCCAGATCGTCACTAAGATGAATACCTGGCCTAAAATGATTTTAAGCAAGAATGTATAAAAATGAACACCCACACTATATTACCCAACTCTCATGACACTGCTCTTTTAAAAATATTTAACAGGGCCAGGGATGTAGCTCAGTGGCATCACACCTGCCTGGCAAGCTCAAGGTCCTGAGTTCAATCCCTGGTACCACAAAAAAACCCCATACACATAGGATTTTAATGTCTTCCGTGCAACTAACTAGGCCTCCAAGATACCTTCCACTCACTCAAGGCTGGAATCCCTTCAAGAATTCTTTTAAGCACTAATGTATTAACATTGACTTCAAGCTGCTACTTAGGGAGCCTGAGACTGAGCACTTGATCTCCTCTCCCCAAGATACACATTCTTGGGCCTGTGCATACTCACTTATACACAAAACTGAGAAAACAGAACAGCCTACCAAGACCAACTTTCCAGCTAGAGGACTGTTGACCTTCACTCTTATGATGTGGAATCTGATCTAATAGTAAGAAACTACTAATACCTTAGACATTCAAGCTTTTAGGAATCTGGTAGTGGAGATCATTTTTAAATTTAAAAGCTCTACATTGAATGACTATTGTACCATATTCCATTAGGAAATGACTCAAAGAGATACTTTCTGTGATCTCGACAAAAACACAAACTGGAATGAAGACAGCAGAAATGCTTTCAATGGATTTCTGGTAGCAGGATCAGGACAGGGCTCATCTTTGTCATGGAGCCTCTTCATTCTTGACCAAAAGGCTGGAAAGGCATTTTTCACACAAAGCCATCTGTCTAAAACATCGGTACAGGGTGGAGATTTAACAGCAGAGATATGTCTGGGCAAAGGCTTCATCACATGGACAATAGTTTCCATTTTCAAATGTAATCAGCTATTGGAGAACCTAGTACTGTAGCATTATGCTAGGATTTTTTTCCCTTGGTACTGGAGATTGAACTCAGAGCCTTCAACTGAGCTGCATACCCAGTGGATTTTTATTTTGAGACAGGGTCCAACTTGCCCTGGCTGGGCTCAAATGTGCCTCATCTTCCCAGAGTGCTGGAATTAAAGGTATGTGCCACCATCAGAATAACTATCAAATATGATATTACCATCCTCCTGCCTCAGCCTCCCAAAGTGGGGGGGAATTAAAGGTGTGTGCCACCATCGGGAGAATAACTATCAAATATGGTATTACCAAGACTGAAAATACGGGGAAACCAAGTTTACCTTTCACATTGCTAAAATCACCAGTTTCTATATGCTCTGGCTTACTGAGTTGTAGGAGACCAGGTAATGAGGACTGAGGCCTAACTGACCTTCTCTGTGAGTACAGAAGAGAAAAACAACAGGCTGTGCCTCCTTTGCCAACATGTAGGCATGCTAGCACGTTGAAAGTCCTAGAGAAGAGTCTATACAGCTGAGTTCAGGTTGTTTACTTGAGTATATGCTATAGGTAACAGAAAGCAGATGAATCTTTTATTACCCTGATTGCTTGTTCCCATGTCTAAGTGAATAAAAGTGAGGTGAGCCAAATGCTCAGGGCACCTGTCCACGAGAGGCAGAGAGCTCCCTGGCCCCCTCATTCCAAATTAACTCCATGTCTTTTTGTCTTTTGTCCTCGTTTGCCCTCTGTTTGGGAGTAAACTCATAGGCTGGGATCCTAGACTGAGTCAAAATATTCAAGAGATTAAAAAAATAGAAAACCTCTTGATACTCTTGAAAGTTTTTGCTTACTAATTGTTTTGACTTTTTTGTTTTGCTTTGTTTTTGTAAAAGTTCATGTGTGGTAAAACTCCAATGTTTTCATTACTAAATATGTAAGGCATATTAACAGTTCATAACACACTCTAGGTAGATAAAGTTATAATACGGCAAAATAGTAACTGTTTAAAATTGTAGCAGCATTCAGTGAGAAATTTAGATAGGGTCACCCAATCTCCCATGAGGCACATGAAAACTGGATTCACAAAAATAAGCCTGTGTTTCTACACGACATGCGAAAAAAAAGTTTTTTGGGAGATCAGAATATGAGTAAGGGGTGAAAAATAAAATTTAATCCCATCTAAACTCTATGCATTATGTATTAAAATTCAAGCTACACTGCTAGGTTTAAAATACATACCTTCTTTCTAGTAACATTTCATAAAAGTCTCTGACATCTTGACCAGATTTCTCCATGCAGTGATAAAATGCCAACTGACTGTCCCGATTTGCAAAATCCACCTTAAAAAATAAAGTTTGATACAAGTTTCAGATTTTAATCACAGAAAATGTTATCCAATCTGAAAATTTTTCACAATTCAGGAAAATTTTCAGGAACAACCAGTCTAAACTGAAACTGTATCTTATTAATCTAAAATCTTTTTTTTGAGACAAGGTCTCACTAGGTACTTCAGGATGGTTTTGAACTCGCAGGGGATCCCTCCACCTCAGCTTCCCAAGTGCTGGGATTACAGGTCTGTGCTACCACACCCGGCCAATTTTACACCAAGCTTGACAAATGATTCAAGGTTCTAGAAGGAGTAGAAAAAGTAAAATGGAAAACTGAGACAAATCACTACTAGGATCCTAGGTTGGTGATTAAATAATGAGATCAATTAAATCTAGCAAAGTCTGATGTACATAAATTTGCTTGAACAACAGTTACAACATAAAATAGTATGACAGAGTATTTCAATTTCATTCACTGGTGGGCCTCAGAGTCACTAAAGCATATGATAACTATTAGTTAGCAATATCTCCATCATTTCAGTCTAACCATCAGTTATTAAAGTACATAGTTCCTTCAAACAATATAGTTCGAACAAATAATAAGAAACAAAAGTAACATGCTTGCAGTGGCTCCCCACTCTTTAGGAGAGAAGAAAAGAGGAAGGCAAGATCCTCCAGGAAGCTGCACCTGTGGGCATAGACACACTTGTCACAACCGTGAGTGGGCTTGCACTGCGTGTGCACCCATGGAGACAGAGTGATTTTTAGGGAAGGAACTGTGGTTCCTGGCTTACAAGACCTATGCCCACAGGTAGCCGAACAGAAAATTCCTGATATTGCCCCTAAAAACTGAGGCATATACACCATGTTCTGTAAACCACTCCGCCTGTCAATCTACAAAGGCCAGTTATTTGTGGGTTGAGATTTGAATACAATTCTGTTGTGATTCTGTTTAAAAGTCATTCTGCACACCTTAATTTTATTGCCACCAATTTTTCTCCCCTTGGTCTCTTTTACAGCTGCTTGTGCATATTCAATTTCATTGTAGAGAATCAGGGCCATGCCTTTCAAACGGTCAAATACCACCTGTAAAAAATAACAAAACAAAGTAAAACCTAATAAGAACTTCATCCACTGGACTTAAGTTTCAGCCTCCACAAAATCCTCAGTCCAAAGAACATTACCAAGTATCATACATATTTTATTCTAGAAAAAATTATAGGCTTTTATTCCTGAGGCACATTATACTAAGCACCCAATAAAATATACAGAGACTGTTTGGAATCATGGATATTGTGGCTTGAGATATATTATGCCTTTATTTTTTCTGTATTTTACTTTGCTTTCAATGTTCTGTTTTTGGTTTTGGGTTTTTTGGTACCGAGGACTGAACTCGGAAGGTCCTTGTGCTTGTGCAGCAGGCGGCAAAACCACTGAGCTAAATCCCCAGCCCTTTGTGGTTTGGTTTTTATTAGTGCTTTTTTTTTTTTTGGGTACCGGGGATCGAACTCGGGACCTAGCAATTGCAAGACAGGCGCCGGAACCACTGAGCTAAATCCCCAGCCCTTTTGGTTTGGTTTTTGAAACAGCATCTTGCTGTATAGTTTAGGCTGGCCTTGAACTCACTATGTAGCCGAGGCTGGCCTCAAACTTGTAGTGATCTTCCTGCCTCTGCCTTTCAAATACTGAGATTACCGATGAGCGCCACCATACCCAGCTTTAACTCTAGAGCAATTTCAAACTTTTCAAAAATCTCAGCTGGTTCAAATAGTATTTTTTCAAAATATTCTCACCATAAACAAATATAATGCCCTTATAGACCAAATTTTAGCAAAGAAATTAATGTGCTACTTATTAAAGAAAAGGAAAAGGCAGCACTAGAGATTGAGACCAAAGAGACAAAAGAGCAAGAAAAGGAAGTCAGAAGCAAGTCTGAACCATGCCCAAAGCCCCCACCTACCTTTATCACAGGACCGTATCGGCAGAAATGTCGTGTTAAATATTGATCCGACACATTTGAAGACAGCCCATCTAACCATACGCAGTTTGTAGGCATGCTCTTTCCAAAACCCAACTGAATACAAAAGGTGAAATTTCTATTAGTAAAGTTCACAGTCACTACTCAACTAAAATATTCTCAGAAAATTGCTCCTCTGTAGGAAACTTATCAAACTTCTTTTGAGTGTCAGCGATGAAACCCAGAGCACTGAGCATGTTAAACATGTGCTCTATGGGGCCAGGGATTTAGCTCAGTGGTTCCGGCACCTGCCTCACAAGCACAAGGTCCCGAATTCGATCCCTGGTACAAAAAAAAAAAAAAAAAGTGCTCTACCACTGAGTTACCCCTAGCCCCTTAAATCAACAACTTAAGTGGAAATTATGTGGTTAAAATTAAACAGAAATTGGGCCAGGGATTTAGCTCAGTGGCACCGCACCTGCCTGGCAAGCGCATGGTCCTGAGTTCAATCCCTAGGACAAAAAAAATAAAAAAGCTGGCCATGGTGGCACACACCTGTAATCCCAGCACTTGGGAGGCTGAAGCAGGAGGATTGCCAAAAGTTCGAAGCCAGCCTGGGCTATATAGTGAGTTCAGGGCCAGCCTGAACTACAAAGGGAGACTCTGCCTCAAAAAACAATAACAACAACAACAACAAAATTTAAATAGAAATTTACAAAAAATAGCAATCCTGTCTGGCTAACCAAGTATGAGTTCAAATTACAGTAAGCTAAGAAGCAGATACAAAGAAAAATGTATCACCTTTATGGTAATCTAACTGTCCTGTAATCTTAAATAATCAGGCACAGGCATAAAAACTCCAAATCTTAAAGCAAATCATAACGCAATATTCTGTGAAAATTCATTTACCTTGAGGCGATTATTTCCAAGGTACTCCCCATCCATTTTCTTAATAGCTTTACAAACACTGGCAATATCACAGTATTGCAAGAATGCATACTGAGGAACTCCATTTACTTTCTTAATATCAATGTCCTGAAAAAGCAAAAATATCACTTAGTAATATTCCAACAAGAAAAGAAAACAGAATTAGCCAAGTTCACATAGGGTGATTATTTCTTTTTTAAAAAATTCCCAGGGCCAGGGATTTAGCTCAGTGATGCTACCTCTTGCCTCCCAAGCGCAAGGTCCGGAGTTTGATCCCCAGTATCAAAAACAAAAAAATTCCCAATATTCACTTTCTTAGTTAAAAGTGTACATCAGAATATAACTGTAAATCAGTAATTAAAAACTATCACAATATTTATGGTCACAGATTATTAAATCTATGCCATGTGAAGCTCTTTGCAGAAGGGCAACTGTACTGCAACTCAAAACTTTAAATGCATAATACCAGTGTTAAAAGAAATTATGATAATGAAAAGGTAGTCTATGTTGTGACATCCTTGTAATTCCCTTTGGCATCATCTAATATCCTAATACGATAAAAATGATTTAAAGCATGCAATCCTGAGCTAGAAGACGCATACACACAAAAATACACACACACACACACACACACACACACACACACACACACGTCCCAGATAATATAGTAACAGTCTCTCACATCCAGAATAACAGAAATACCTGAACTACTTTGTGAAGAAATACCTGAACTTCTTTTGTGGAAGCTGAACCAGAAGACCATCCCTAAGTCACCCTACAAAGAGGATCCCTCTCCCCTTAGAATGCACAAACTCTGTAGTGGTACCTGACACTCCTATCCTATCTACTGGGAGAAGAGATGAAAATACCTGATGTGGACAGAGAAACCAAACAGATGGCAAAGCTTATACTTAAACAATAATGACCTGTGTCATGAATTGCAGAGTAAATACTGTAAATATGTAAGCCTCCTTAAGAGAGACTTAATCGAAACTTAAAAACAGCAGTAATACAAAAGCCAAAATCAACACTCAAAAGCAGCAAAATAAGTAATGTATTGAACTGCTCAATGGATCATTAAAAAAGAAGTGATCTAGGGCTGGGGATTTAGCTCAGTGGTGCTGCCACCTGCCTCACAAGCCCAAGGTCCTGAGTTCAAACCTTGGCACACACACAAAAAAGCAGTGATCTACATTACATATTCTTCAAAGTAATGGTAAAGAAGAACTAATTTTCACTGTTACACAGAATATAAAACCTAGGATAATTCTGGCTTGGTGGCGCATGCCTGTAATCTCAGCACTCTGGGAGGTTGAGAAGGATTGCCAGTTCAAGCCCAGCCCGGGCAACCTAGTGACTCAGACCCCATCTCAAAAAAAAAAATTTTAGGGCCCCACGTGTGTTAGGCTGGAGAGCGGGAGTGAGAGCCGCCGCTCGGGGCTGTGAGCCTGTGGGGTCTGGAGTGCGGAGGTTCCCTGTGGCCCCCAGGACGTCACCATGCCTAAAGCACCAAAGGGAAAAAGCACAGAAAAAAAAATCATCCACCCATATAGTAGAAAAGCTGCACAAATTACAAGAGAGGCCCACAAACAAGAAAAGAAGGAAAAATTGAAGAATGAAAAGGCTTTACGTCTCAACCTTATTGGTGAAAAACTGCAGTGGTTTCAAAATGAGCTGGATCCCCAAAAAATGAGATAGTCAAAGAAAGACGCTTGTGAATTAATTGAAAGGTATTTAAATCGATTCAGCAGTGAGCTGGAGCAGATTGAGTTACACAACAGCATCAAGGACAGGCAGGGAAGGCGCCACCAAGCCCGGGAGACGGTCATCAAGCAGACGATGGAGCGTGAACAGAGAGTGAACGACAGCAATACGAAGGCTACGGCCTTGAGATTTCAGACATTTTACATGCAAGTAGTCTGAAAACCTTTAGGAAATGGGATTTGGATCTGAAGAAATTGCCAAACATTAAAACGAGAAAACTTGGTGCAAATGATGCAGTTGCTAAGAAGCACAAGAAGAAAACTCAGAATTTAACTATAGACAAAGATTTAGGGCAACTGGAACTAAAAGGCAAATCAAGTGACTCGGATGAAGAAATGACTCCTGTGGCCTAACTGTCCTTACTTGAGTTGAAAATAAGTAATATGAGAACTTTAAGTCACACTCATTACTCATGAGAAATAATTATCTAGTATTTGCTGTTTAACTCATTCTCTCATAATGTGAATCACATTTGCAGTTTCAAATATGGTATTGTAATTTTTATTTAAAAATGAAAGTTGTGTTTCATTTATATTAAGGTGCTAAAATAGAAAATATATTGTTTTTCATTACTATAACAAAATACCAGAGGCTGGATAACATAAAGAAAAGAAGTTTATTTAGCTCATGGTTTTGGAAGCTGAATGTCTAGACAGCACAGTGCTGGCTCTGGTGAGGCCTCCTCTTGCTGCACGTCATGGTGTGTGGTTATCGCAGTGATGGGAGGGCACAAGAGAGGGAAAGATCACATCACAAGACAGGAAGCCAGAAAATCAAAGGGTCCCATAATGACATCCCACCAGGCCCTGTCTCTTAAAGGCCTGAAAGAATTAAATGATTTCAGGTTAGCTCCATTTGATTATTATATTATTTTCTGCTTTCTCATTGTGAAAAGTAGTAGGTTTTATTCAGACCCAAAGGTTAGAGAGCTAATGATTATAATTGTTACTTCTGAGATACATTACTTAAATTAATATATCAAACATATTTCAAGTACCATGACAAGCATGAATATTCTAGAATTTTGCTCTTCAAATAATTTACTAAATGCTAATATATGTTAGTCTGTCTTTTAAAGGATGCAAGTATAAGTTTTCAAGAAAAGGAAAAAACGCTGTGTGAGATTAACTAGGTATCAACTAAATTGTTAACAACTTATACAAAGTGTTACAACTTTTATACTTCTGAAAATTAAAAATAAAGTTTATTTCTATAACTTCAAAAAAAAAAAATTTAAAGGGCTGAGGACATAGTTCAGTGTGAGGGCCATGGGTTCAATTCCCAGTGTCACAAAACAAAAATCAGGATAATTTCATATATGAGAAATGATCTCCAAAGAACATTGGTGAACAAATAAGTTCACTAAATAGGTTCTCCTAGCTGTTGTATAACCTAAGCAAGAGATCACTTTCCGAAAGTGTGTGTCATTTAAAATAATAAAACTCAATGACAGACATGGTGGCATATGCTTCTAGTCCCGGTGCTCCAGAGGCTGGCAGGAGGATCAGTTAAACACAGAAATTTGAGCACAGCCTGGATAACAATAGCAAGACTTAGGCCTGGGGATTTAGCTCAGTGGTTTTGCCGCCTGCTGCGCAAGTGCAAGGACCCGAGTTCGATCGCCGGTACCAAAAACAAAAAACAAAAAAACAGAAAAAGAAAGAGAGAAAGTGGGGTGAGGGGGAGATGGAAGGAAAGGATGGAGGGAGGGAAGAGAGAGAGAGACAGAGGGGAGAAAAGCATTTGTCAACAATTGCTAGCATGATGAGATTATGGCTTTCAAACAGGATACAGACATGACCGCCTTATTGACACAATTATCAATCTCTTTTCAGCAACACTGATGATCTCTATATCCATGTGCCCAACTATACCTTTTTTACACTGCTCCAAAATTTAAAGTAGCATCTATATTCAAATAAAAGGATGTTTGAAAGTTTTATCAATTTATGGACTTGTGAATGCAAAATTACAAATTAAAATAATATGTATATAAAATTCTAAAGACAAGCTGGAGTCCAAATAGATACAGGAGCTTTGCCTCACTTGTGTAGGTAGGTAGTAGAGATTGAATCAGTACACACCACTCTCATAAAATCAAAAGATTTAAGGGTCAGGGATGTAGCTTAGTAGCGCTGCACCTGCCTGGCAAGCACAAGGTCCTGGGTTCAATTCCTAGTCCTGGAAAAAATTGAAAAATCAAAAGGATTTAGAAAATCAAAAATAACAGGAAAAGAGGCCCGGGGATTTAGCTCAGTGGCACTGTGCCTGCCTCACAAGCACAAGGTCCTGAGTTAGATCCCCAGTACCAAAACAAAACAAAACAAAACAACACGGGAAAAGAAAAGATGAATGCTTTGCTGGTATCATTCTCTTAATATATAACTTTTCTGTTTTCTCTTTTTCTACCAACCAAATATATCTCCTGCTCCTAATTCTTAGGAGGTTTAGATCAGACACCAATAATGTATTATTTACAAGACTAATTATGGTAAATTATGTCATTAAAAACAAAACAAAAAAATGATCTTTTGCTTAGAGCAACAGTGTATACAGCCAGGTGTCATGGTGCACACATGTGATCCCAGCAGCATAGGAAGTCAAGGCAGGTGAATTCCAAGTTCAAGCCCAGTCTTGGCAACTTAAGTAACATAGCAAGACTACATCCCAAAATAAATATATATACAAAAAAGGGCTGGGAATGTAGCTCAGTACACAGGCCCTAGGTTTGATTCGAAGTTAACACCCCATCCCCTGCAAAGTATATAAATAACAATAGATAGGAGAAAGGACAGATGCATGGATACACACACCCCTGAAAGACTAATAACACCTGTTCTTACCAAAAACATTTTTACTCTCCAGAATCCAAATATACTAGAGCAGTTTCTTCTCTGTTACTAACAATGGAAAGACTTGCAAAACCAAAAGTAATTTCCTTATTTATTTTTTCAAACACAGAAGAGAACAGTATACCCCAAGAGTTTAAAGCAATGACCACAGTTTTACTATAAAATGATTTAAGCATTAAGTCACAGGAAACAAAAAAAACTTGTATCCCTAAGAATGACTTACATAAGAAGTGATTTTAATTACAATTTTATTTATTTATTTGGGGTTTTTTGAGACAAGGCCTCTGTAGCCCAGGCTGATCTCGAACTTGAGGCAATGCTTCTGTCTCAGCCTCTAGAGTGGTGGGATTACAGGCATGCACCACCATGGCTGGCTAATTTTAATTAAAACTTTAAAATAGAATTAAACTTCTAACACATGATATCCACATTCTAGTAATCCCTAAGATACCTGATATGCATTTGTGATCATCTAATAACCACACACTAATTTGCTGCTCCTCTTCACAAAGGTTTTCTCTTCCAGAGTTTCCTTTTAACCCATAGGACTACAGATGGTATAAAACACAACCCAATCAGCCAGGCACGGTGGTACATTCCTGTAATGGAGGCTGAGGCAGGACCACTGTGAGTCTGAGCTCAGCCTGGGCTACTCAGTGAGTTCAAGGCCAGCCTGAACTACACAGCAAGACTGTCTCCAAAAAAGAACCCAATGGGGAAAAAAAAAAACCCAATGGACAAAGAAAGATAAAGAAAATAAATGAGAAAAAATAAATGATATTCTACAGGCTTTTACACGAACAGTACCCAGTGGGCTTCTCTGGATCATCCTCTTTTGCTTTCAGGACAGGATCTCACTACATTGCCTGGGCTGGTCTCAAACTTCTGGACTCAAGTAACCTTCTCACCTCATTCAGCTTCCCAGGTAGCTGGGACTACAGGCATGTGCTGCTGCACTCAGCTTGGGTCATCTTTTAACAGGAGTTAAAAATGCATAAACCAAATGAGAAAATATATTCGAGACACCATTAAATATCATCTTGCCAGGTCTGGGGATTTAGCTCAGTGGTTCTGGCGCCTGCCTCGCAAGCAGAAGGTCCCAAGTTTGATCCCCGGTACAAAAAATATATATATATATACACATACATACACACACACATATAGCCAAACATAATCTGTACTGTACTCTATCCTTTAGGACAAAGACCTAATATTGCTTTTATCATCAAAGCAACATACCACAATCTCTCCGAACCGCTGGAAGGTGTTGCGAAGGTCATGGTAAGTGGTGGTCTTTTCAAGGTTGCCAATGAAGAGAGTTCTTGTTGCTTTGGGATGAAACTCATCTATCCTTTCATCCAAGGGACGGAACTCGTTTTCACTTTCTGTTTCTGTATATTTATATATAAAACTTTCCGTTAATGTATATTTATATATCTGGGAAAAGCTACATTTAGATAACTCTGAAATAATGGAATTGAATGCTAACTAACTGAAAAACTGTAAACATCTCTAAAACAGCTGCCCCTTGGTAACACCAAAGTAGAACAGAAATACAGAGGCTAACAAATGAATTAACACTTGTTTCATCTTTAACACAGAGAATGAACTGACACTGAATGAAATTTCAATCTAAATGAATTTGTTTTCAAAGTAATCACTGACACAGATTTTAAAACTCCAGCAAAAACTGTAAAGCTGGCTCTCGATGTGAAATATAAAACTACAACTTGAAATGTATTTTTTAAAACTCAGGTGAAAATAGTCTAGCTTCATTAATTTCATTTACTTCTCTGTAGCTCCACTTATTAACTTGGTCTAGGGCAGGGACTTTCAAAATTTTGTTGATAATTATAGTACAGTACTGCATGGTCTCTAAGAGGATTAAAATTTTTTTTTTTAAAGAATGGGGTCTTCACTGTATTGTCCAAGCTGACCTCAAATTCTTAGGATCAAGAGATCCTTCTACTTCAGCCTCCCAAGTATGTGAAAAAGCTTTTTTTAAAGTTAAGATTTCAAGCTGACCCTACCACTTAAGAGATCAGAATGGGGCCGGGATTTAGCTCAGTGGTTCCGCCACCTGCCTCAAAAAAAAAAAAGAGATCAGAACGTCACCAAATGAATATCCCTGGATCAGAGCTTCATTATTTAATAACTGTGATTGGTTCTAAGAATATACAAAGGTCATATGACACACTAAATATTATTCTTCATGCAGTTCTGACTTGTTCCAAATGTGTTATATAAGAACTAGAAAAAAAAACAAAACAGAAAAGCAAGGCATGGTGGTACACTCCTGTAATCTCAGCACTCAGAAAGCTGAGGCAGGAGGATCACTGTGAGTTTGAGGCAAGCCTGAGCCACATTGGGAGGCCCTGTTTCAAACAACAACAACAAACTCCTGAGCTGCTCTTAGCTCAGTATAATTTAGGGCAATGCAAATCAACTCAATAGAGAAATGAGTGTGAAGTCCTCCTCTGAAAAGATAAAATTTCCTTAAATTCCTATAATCCAGCAGAAAATTATGCATATTTTACAATATATATGCTAAAACTCTGCACCTACTGTAATATACAAATAACATTTACATATTCTTATTATAGAAATTGTATTTTTTCTCTTAACTATAAAATAAAATGAATATTTTAGAAACATTCATGTTTACCCTATAAAGAGGCCATAAATTCTATTCAAAGTCTTACAGTTCAGTTGTGTGGCGCTAAGGTATAGCTCCGTGGGAGTGCTTGCCTAGCATGCATAAGGCCTTGGTGTGGTCCTCAGCACCAAAATTAAAAAGTTCAGCGGTTTCAGATTCACAAGGTAACTACAGAATTTTAATTTTTCTACCAATTCCTTTGCAAATTTATTCAAAAGTGGCTTTAAATCACAGGTCCCCAAAACTGAGTGTGTCAATTTTGAATCACCTCAGCTCGGGTCAAAGAGGCCATTTTTCCCCCAGTACCGGGAATTGAACTCAGGACCTTGTGCTTGCCAGGAAGATGCTGCACCACTGAGCTACATTCCTGGTTAAAGAGGCCATTTTTAAATAAGCACTGCAGCCAGGGATTTAGCTCAGTGGTGTGGCACCTGTCTTGCAAGTGCAAGGTCCTAAGTTCAATCCTTGCTACCAGAAAAAAAAAAAGCTGTTAAATAAGCACTGCAGATTGTTCTGAAATAGAAGAAACACTGACTCATGTTGTGCCTGTTGCAACAGGTCTTATAGGGAGGTTCAACCCAATGAAATATTTCCTTAAAATTCTCAACCGGGCCACACTCAAACACTCAAAAGACAGTGATCAGCTTCTTGGTCACTTTCTTTTTTTTTTTTTTTTG